GCCAAAGCTAACTAGATTAGGGAAAAACGCCTACGCAGAATTATAGTTGTGGTCGCAGAACAACATTCAATATTCTGAATAGTCGAAAATATGCGAGGCCCGGGTAATTGAATAGAATATGAGTCACATGGGCAGCCATGGTTAACAATGAGAAAAGCCTGAAATTCCAAATTCGCGGGAGTCCAGAAATGAACTCTAGGCGAATAGCAGATATCCTAATTGTAATTTAGAACACACAAAGCAAGAACATTAACAATATGGGCAAGGAAGTTTTGTATACCCTAATTTCAAAAACAGAAGTCCGTTCATGAGGGGATAGTCGAAATAGAATACTATTCTCCTGTCTTACCCTACAAGGAGTGCGGAACACACGGTTCTATTCGACGTCAAAAGGAGGTATAATTGTTATTTGCGGACAATATGAAGATAATTCCGATTTCATTACAGCTGGAACTTGAAGGGATCCCACTGCAGTAATAACTAACTGTGTCGAATTTGTTAAACTCACTAGTGTACTAGACTTCAACCACATACGTACTCTTAGCACTGCTATTGTTGATTTGATTATACTAATTCGTCAGGAAAAAAAGCCTATTAATGTCGCAGTTAGATCCGGTATGTATCCAGTATGTATATATCATGATATGTGTTCTGCTAAATATTTCAAAGGTGAGTAATTACCACCAAACGGCTCTTGAAAATAAGGATGTATAAATTTAAGCGAACTACCAAACAAAGCGAAGCGTTGAAAACTAAGATTTTTGCTAAAAAAAATGGCTGAATTAGAGGTAAGTGAAAATATCTACTATAAGGCTGAAAGTTAGGTGTTTCCGGGTTTCATTATAATCGATAGAAGCGAACATGTCTTCTGAGTGTGATGCGGCTAGGCGCAAATCGAAAAACAATCAAAAGTGAGCAATAATAATACCTTATTCACAACCACGACAAGAGGAATTCCCAGGTTGTTTATTAGGGCACCGGCAGTGATAGGTAATTCCTCATTGGTAGGTACTTTTGGCAAAAAGGTCGGTTCATCGCCATCGACCCCTTCTTCAACTGGCTTGGGCTCCGTTGCCGGCTGTGGAGCGTTCAAATTAAGGAGTGCAGCCGTAGCAGGGTGTAAGGGGACCGATCGAAGACCTGTTGGAGCTGAGGGCGCTTTGACCGGACTCGCTTCCATTTTTGTATGAGTGGGACTCAGAAGAAGAGTATCCGGCTCGACATAAGCACGGAACTGCTGGGTGACTTAAAGGATAAAGTAAATTTGCAACATGAGTCAGTGTTTTACATGATATCGTCAGACAATAGCAGAGCAAATGTGGTAGGCACTTCCATCGAAACCACCGAACACGGCTGAAGCAGACAAAAGAGGTCCGCGCATGTTACTTGAGTGCCCTAAACTTCCAAATAAAATGGCCAGAGGAATTAATCGAACGACAAGGAATCGCAGTTGCAAAATCTCTTTGAACAAATTACGATATGTCGAAGTTATGGAGTAGAATGACGTTGGAGAACTAAATAAGATTGAAAAATTTCTAAAAAGACGTAAATCTATTTTGTTTCTCATAAATAAAAGACTTAACAGGAGAAAAGAATAGTGCGATGAGGGGAAAAATTGGATAATTAAAGTTTCGCGTAGATTTACATATATTGCGGAGAAATTTAAAATGCTCAAAGACGACGTGTACGATACTTTCACCACGTGTCTAATGTGGATCAGTTAAAGATAAATACTCAAGACGACATACTTCTGTCTCTATGAGCGCTAAGCTCCTCAACAGGTAGTTCCAGCTGTTTGATGTACTCGGAGAGGACATCGACCCACTTCTCCAGCTGCTCCATAATATTCCATGGCTCTTCCATACTAACAACAATGACAGCAAGAAGATCCGAAAAGCTTTCCTTTGTGAGAACGAATCTCAGAAGGGGAGTGAAGACAAACTCGCCACCTAAAATCCATACGCTTAACTTAGTTTGATCTAAACGAATAATTGTTCAAAGACAGCAAACCATCGCGAGCTTCATCTTTGACATCGATAAAGTGATACTGAAGTCCTGCGCCATTTTTGGATGTTGCTTTTCCATTTAGACGAGAACACAGAGTTGACTTGCCAGTGCCATTGTTGCCCAAAAATAGTAGACCCTTCTTTTGCGGCAACTTTCGCAGTCCCATGGTTGAAACTTCCTTTAAAATGGTGGACCTACTAAATATGGAAATTCTGTAAAAATTACCAAAGGTGGGACTCCTTCGGGGCTTCTTCAGCATTTGACTCCACTACCATTTCTGAGATATCGAACGCTGACAAACACCGACTTTCGCAGGACGCGCGTTTATTTAGGTAGTAAAACAAACAACTTTACGCAAGTACCGGATAGCCACTGAAAAAACGGCATAGGGCGTGACATGGTTTTGTAGTGTTCCGTACTACTAGTGGCCTTGACGAATCCGGCGCGTGGTTTGATAATAAAGGGGGATGATGACTCTCGGCAAATAATACAGAGATCTCTTCTAAAAGGCGGTTAACCTCAGAGTAAACTGCAGACAACCTTTTCTTTTCAACAGGCATAATGTCACACATAAAGTAGGAGGAAAGAAGGTTCTGCTATAGATATGGGTTTAATAATGTAGAACGATATCAACGAAGGGTATGGAAAAACTAGTATAAAAAAACGAGTGGAAAAATATCTGAGGATGGTAGTCTCTAATAATACAAAATCGAAACTGGACGAAAAGACCAAACC